AAGGCTCGCATGTGGCTACACGAGCCGAAGATTTAAGGTTTGCACGAGGGGGCTCGGCCGAAAGAAATGAATCGGAGAGGGATCAGGCGCGTGTGTGAGTTAGGGATTTAAGATTTTTTTTTATTATTATTTCATTTAAGTTTCGCCGATTCGAGCATAATTTAATCCCACTCGGAATCATACCAAAATTGGTGTCTTTCCCGACTAAAGTCGACATTCCGGACGCGTCGGCGCAGTCCGTTTCGTCATCCGGTGTCGTTCGGACAACCTTGTCGACGATCGGGTTAAAAATTGCGTCAAATTTGATTTTCTTAAAATTTCGAGTTTGCAAACAATCATTTCAAAATTTTAATTTAGTTTCAATTAATTATGAAGCTTTTATAGGTGTATGTGATATGAATTGCAATAATTAAACGTATCGACTCTCCGAATTGCGAAATTTGTGCGTGCGAAGTTGAAATTATGAATGAGGCAATCCTCAGGCTTAATGGTCCCATAAGAACTCCCTTTTGAGTTCTCTCATATTGGTTGCAACCTCCTAAGTGCTAGAGGTCAAGAACCACACATGCAGAACTCCAAAAGAGTAAAGAAGTATTTTGAATTTCTAAAATGAGATGGGTTCTACTACTAAGGCTCTAAGATAGTCAAAGGAAAAATCTTAAGGCTAAACCTTAAATCCTAAGAAGAAAAATAGACCTCCCTAAAAATGAAGTCAACAATAAACTCAAACAATTAAATATTCATAGGTCTGCACTGTACAAACTTTTAATTAGCTAAAATGTACTGATTTAAAATATTCTTAGCAAGTTTTTTATGACTTGGAATGCAATAAGCGTTAAAAATTTCTTTATTTTCCCCTAAGATAATTCAATGCACAAACTTTAATTAGCGAAAATGTACCAACTTAAAATATGCTTGGCATGTTTTTTATGACTTGAAATGCAGTAAAAGTTAAAAATTTATTTATTTATCCCTAAGATAATTCAATGTGATGATTATGATTATATACTCTTAAGTAATATTCCTCATATTTAAACAAAAATGTTAGCTTAATATACATTATCATAACTGACACCCTACTTCGCTCAAGTGTGTGCCTATGCTAGCCAATAGTGCTATGGCCGTTGGGCAACCACATCACCCTGAGCACACCCAACGGTTTTGAAAAAGAAAAAAAAACCATTGATGCTTCAAGGAAAAGCAAGCAGGCAAAAATTCTTTTTGAAGACGCTTTAAATTGGTAATCCTACTTAGTTGCATTTTAAGATAGTAAGCCATATAATAGTTCAAAATCCCTTTTGCTTCTTAAGATATGAAATATTACATTAACTTTTGGATATGCCATCTTCTCCATGTAAACATGAACTAATAATATCAATCGTAAACAAGAAAAGTAATTAAAGATTAAAAGAGAGAAAATTCATTCATAACTACAAACTATAAACATTGATTTTATGATAAAAAATAAACTAGAATGAAGTCAGACCATTTAGGTTTAATCAAGTCCATATTATTGTCCTCATATCTAAAGGGTCACTTGCCAAAATAAACATTGTTTCCCATTTAAAATAACAATCCAAAATTTTCTTCTCTAAAAATGAACTTAGTCAAACCAACGACTCATAAATTGTAATGGCAGGAATGAAAATTTTAATGGTTTTGAACCTTGGATCTATGTGGTAAGTAAATCAGTAAAGAGCCAGCTACATAATTTTGTAGGTCAGCAAAATAATTGCCATTAACGCTCTTTAAAATGCTTCTACAAGCTTTACTCTACGAATACAAAGAAACAAGCCATTTTCAAAACAAAGTAGTGTGAGAAAGGTCTGGTTATGATTACATTATAGACCCAATGGTAGAGTAGGATGGAAATGAATAGGATACCCTCTTTGATAAAGAATACCCAAATTGGTAATAAATTAATGATGCGACACCAAAAACCATATTAGAGCATGATGTGTTTCATTATATATACCCTCATTGCATTGGAACCATGTAACTTTTTAATACTTCATGTCATTCAAAGTAGCAAATTTTTAAATAACACAAAAAGTAATTGATCATTTAAACATTTACAAAAAAAATCTAAAATATAAAGCCACCAAAAACACATTGAATTAGTAAAATTAATAGAAATCCCAAAAGCAATCGAACAAATATGTTTAAGTGGTAAATCCAATTAACAAAATAAAATTTAGAGAGCTACCCAATTGGTTGATAATAAACACTTACTCAATAAGCCTATCAGGATACATTGAATAGCAAACCCAATAAATATTTTATCAAATCAAATAATCAAAGCTTCTGAATATTATTCAGATTTACCAACTATCGATAATAGATAATTGCCTTCCTTTTGGCAGATAATGTAAAACAATTTTCAATTCCAAATAAGTGTATTTACAGTGCTACAACTAAGTACAAGTGTGAAAATTAGATGAAATTCAATAAACAATACAACCCCCCCCCAAAAAAAAAAAGGATCCATATTTTTTAGCACTTTGCTCATATAGCTTTGCTTTCTAGTACAATGACATCAAATGCTAAAGTTATTGTGGCATGAACTTGAGCAGAATCTAATATTGACGCCTTCCTCCCCTAAACATCATTATACTTTCATTTCTCTTCTGGGATTTTAAAAAGGCTACCTTTTCCTAGGGTTTTTCACAACCAAAGGATTGGAATATTTGATAATTGATGTCCATAAAATTCTATATACTGCAGAATTCTAAAGCTCATAAAGGCCTTTTGGCTTGCATAATTCATTTTTTATGATGTCGACGTAACTTATTTAGTACTAAAATGAGAGGTAGATGGAGAAAATTGGGGGAAAAGATAGAGATGATAACTATTTGATGGTGGAGGAGGAAAGAATGATATTCCATTGCCATCAAATGCTTGTCCTTAGTCCCAATGGAATTAACCACATTTGGTGTGTTGAACAGGCACCCCAAAAATTCATAAAAAAATACTTTACCATGGTAGAAGATTGTTAATTGATGTTTATGAATCGCATTATAAATTTTTAGTTTTCTAGTTTGTGTAATCCACTGACTACCAACCTCGTCTACATAGGCCACAATTCATGGGCCTTTTACTATGAAACAACAAACAAACAAAAAAGGAGTTCCCAAGCTCTTGTACAAATGTTCTTAGAAGATTAGGAATGCTAGAATGTCTAACGCTGGTGAGTGCATGAAGTCACAAGGATAAGTGGAGTAATACAGCAGCATATAGTTAGTCAGCTACATAAGCAGATAATGGAGACACTATAGATTTGCGACTACACTACCCCCATTTAAAATTTATAATTTAAATTTTGTTGTTTGTCCTTTTTCTTTTTGATAAGAACCTAGCCAGCCCTGTCCCTACCATGTTGTCAAGCTATTCACACAAAGACCATTGCAGCTTTGCCAAGTTGGTCGCCATATGCCATTGTTTGTCACGATTGATCGCCACTTTTGGTAGGGGAGAACAAGGAAGCTAGTTCCAACTCGTTTGATTTTGTCTATGCATGCAACAAAATTAGAATGCATTGCATTTCCTTCTTTTAGATGCTTTATCTCTTTCCCAATTTCTTTTTTTTTTCCTTTTTTTTTTTTTTTGTGTGTGGTGTTTCACATTATTCGTTTAATTATTATTTTAATTTTTATACTAAAAGGAGAAAATATATTTGATTGAAGCTATTGTTTTAAGATTATAAATTTATTTTTAGAAATTCAGAGAACATACTTGGACTTGTTCAGATATTTCTCAAATTAATATCTTAGCATAATTCCTCTTTAATAATATGAACCTATGAATAAAAAACAAATATAACTATTCTCTCGTTTTGAACAATGATATTGAAACTACTGAAGTTTGTGTTTTTTCATTTTCTTAATTCTAAGAAGGCATCAGTAGTGATTTCAGGTTGGAAAACTGATAAAAGAATGGTACACCATAACTATTTAACTAATAATTATGTCAAAGGAAAAAGAGAAATCTTTTTAAAAGGTTGCTGTAATTATTAGTCATTAATTTGTGCTCATAAAGAAAATTTTTTGGTTCCACCTCTGAATTCAGCTGCTAATATGAACATAATAAGGGAGTCAATACATGTTTGCAGAATAGAAGCTTTGGATGTAAGAATGGCTAAATATTATCATGATTTTTCTTTTATAAATTTTGATTTTTACTTGTCTTTTCACAATTGGAAATGGGGATAAATGTCATATATTTGCTGCGCTTTTTTTTATCAGTTTATCTATTATTTTGTTACCAAAATGCAGCCTATGACAGAAAGATCGATCTGCATTAACTAATGTAATCAGCGAAACGTAAAACAATAGAAATGACATTGAATCCAACTGATTCAAACATTTCATAGCTCAAACAATAATACGCAAATTTTCATACCCGACCTGATGCAAATCGCCTTAAAAACTGAAAATAATCAAAAGACGATTGGATAGAGAGAATCCACGTCATACCATATTTTCTTGGTATCTTTGAGAGAGAAGGATCGGATGACACGTCAATGTAATCCCCATGGCACTCACTAAGCAAGTTAGCTCGCCTCCGTACCTTCATCCCCATGAAGTGTAACGGCTTTTCCGTCGCCTCCTCTTTTGGGGGTGGTGATGACTCTACCCCTGCTTCGTGCCCATTCCAATCCACTCCAAGTATTTCCGGAGGCCCCTCGACGGCTTCCCGATTGTCATCGATGTTTCCTGAGTCAATGTCTCCTAAAAACAGATGCGCTTCCGCTCTCCGAGCCATGAATCGATCCATCGGCCTCATGAGGTGGATTGAATCAACTATAGCTATCTGAGCAGGTTCGACTGTTCGATGATCTCTTCCGGCTGCAAATCAAGGGGCCCGCAAAGGATTTAGAGCAGGATTTAACCGGGATTTGCCCTAAATCCTGCGAGACGGTCAGATTGGACAAAAATAAAGCCGTGGTTCCATAAATCGGGATTTTTGGGGCTGCCTGCCCATGAATTTAGGAAAAAAATTATGCAGTGTATGTAAACTCTTGTCCAATGATTATTTTAGACAAAATAATTTTGGCGATGCGAGGGGTGGAATTAAGTTCACGGGTTGTGAATTTAATGCGGGAAGTAAGTGTAGAGCAGAAATAATGACAGTTTTATAGCATTCATGGGATTAATTAAATTCATTGTTAAATAATTTTGAAATTTAATTATTTAAAATTAATTAACTTTAAATTTACAGGAGTAATTTAAATGTAATGTGTTATTAGACAGCACCTTACTGATTTCAGCAAAAAAACTCAGGTTTATTAAATCCTATAAATCGTAGGATTTAATAAATTAAGGACAAGTGATTCGGACGAAAAGGAAGATATAAAGTCTCCTTCCTCCATTTGCCTACATGATTTCGTGTAGGAACAGTGTGGTAAGAGAAAAAAAGGTTTTGGAGTTACTCAAACAATACTGACCCTTTCTGGGTTATGTTACTGGAGACGTAACAAAATAAATCATTTACTAATGACACATGACCTATCTTTGATTATTAGTTGAAGCATGTACTCGATGATTGTAACTTATAATGGAAAATTTTAAAGGAAATCTACCAAGAACTTTTGACATATCGTAAGCTATTTAATCAGAACGTCTGCTAGATGATTGTAGCATATATAATAAATGAGGTCAAATCAAGTCCTTTTGGGTTCGATTAAACCTAGAATGATATGCTAGAGAATAATCCATGTTCCTCGAGTTTAGGGCATATGTCGAGATAAACCATACTTTTTTCTTAAGAATATGGTTGTAAATATATTCAAGACTCATGTTTAACAAATTTTTGTTGCTGCCTTTTAATTTATTTCCCTCTAGTGAATGCATCATTCACACGCCTCTAAAATGGCATTAAATTTTATTGAGAATGCAATGATAATTATATTCAAATAAAGTTATGTACAAGAGAAAACACAACATCATTACTCAAAAAACATCAAGTGCATCGAACTTTGATACGAAATGAAAGCAAATACATAGATATAGAGTGATGACTAAACACCAACAAAAAAAATAATGATTATAGTAGCATAACATTACCAATCATTGATAATCTTTGCAAAGATTTTCTGCATTATAGTTTTAGGAAGTGTCTTCCTGTGAGGTTCATTTTAGCTTGAAAGTTCCAAACTTAATCATAATTGTGATCACATAAGGACCATCGCAGAAGGGTGTAATTTTGTTGCATTGAGGACCTTTTTGTTGGCCTCGAGACATGTAAAACTAGGTTCCCAATGAATATAGGTCTAGATTTCACTCTTCTGTTGAAATAATAAGCAACCCTCTGGTTGTATGATGAGACTTTGAGAAGAGACGCCTAATAGTTTTTTGGAAGAAGATCTAAATTTTGTTCAATTTTTTTAACATTTATATAAGGATATGTCGGCGTTATTTCGGGTTGGTTTGTGGGGTTGCCCGTAAGAAGTTGTCGGTCGCCGGAATCGAAATCTCGTCGCCCGCTTCGGAAGAACGTTGAAGTATGAAATCAAGCTGACCCCATATTTTTCATAGTTTAAAATGAAAGAGCACTGTACCTCAAATCCTGTATCTATCCCGAAGAATAAACACAAGACTTGAGGATGAGGCTTGATCAAATAAACTAAGGAAAGTATGACGTCCGTTTGGTCTACGAAACCTTTGTATTTGCCGACAAGTTCCCCTATTTAATATAAAGAATTAAATAG